CACCTAATGTCGGGGGTTTAAGTGGAGAGAAAATGTTTTGAGAATGATGTACAAATGCGCTTTACACAATTGATGTGTGTATGGCTTGCGATCACAGTTGTATGAGCCCCTAATAAAATGTTCTAAATAAATAAATGCATACATACATACATACATAAAATTTTAACCTCAAAAAAAACAAAAAACTCAGGCTTACCCAAGGGCTCAAGTATAAAGAAAATGTTTTGAAAAGAACGATGGAAACATGTTCAAATGTGCTTGACACAATGGATGTATGGATTGTTATAAGAGTTGTAAGAGTCCCCAACAAAATTTTATATATCTATAAAAAAAAAAAGAGCTTATTGCACGAGATAGCTTTTGTTTCAAATAGTTGGTCAATAAACCCTTCAAAAGGACAAAGTAATCGATCTGAACCAATGAAATACTGATTTAGTAACTTTGAGGACAAATCTTTCAATTCTGATATAGAAGAACAGCCAATATAAAGAATCTGAACAAAGTCTAATAATTAGATGAGACCCTATCAAAAGAAATAAATAAATCATTTAAATAAATAAATAAATCAAATTTCACTGACTTTCCAGGAGTGGGGAAAAAAACCCCAAAAGATCTACAGAGCAAGTATCCAAAATTGGCTGGATGAAAATTTGTCTAACATCATAAAAAAGAAAATAATTAAAGAAGCTGAATTGTTTGAGGAACAATACAGCTTCTTTAAAGGAGGACCCAAAATACAACAAACTTACAACGTTGAAAATAGAGAACCATAGATACCATTTGGTAATGGAAAAATTGCAAAGAATATAGATGGAAAGTGTAGATAGAAAACATCAGAATGGAGAGAAAGTAAAGTAGATTGAAAGAAATAACTAATTATACTAACCAAAAAAACCCCACACAGATAAAAAAAGAACTAATTATATTAAATCTGAGATGAACATATAAACACAAAGAAAATGCAAAAATTATAAAAAGGGTAGATATTTATAAAATACAGCAAACAGTAAATAAAAGAATAGGTTAACAAAATTACAAGAAAACTCATTAACAACAGCCAAAGTCGGTGTGAGCAAGAGATTGAAAGGGAAGAATGGTGGGATGCTGGAAGGACCTTGCATACGGATTTCTTCTCGAGAGCGTTTATGTTCCTATTCTGCTTTTTACAAATAAAAACTGCAAATTGTCAATGATGCAAGATGGGTGTGGTTTAAGCAAGAAAACTGTATCTAATCAGTAGCCACATCCATCAAAATATTGGCAAGAAACACACATTTTCATGGAAGTGCACTTTTGTATAAAATAAATATGATTTATTCTAAGTTACAATTTTTTTAAGACCCCACTCACAAAAAGAACTTGGCACATAAACTTGCAAGGAAAATATAAACTTCAATAAAACCAAATATCAAAATGATAACCACAAATCTATACATAACAGTAATTATAATGAATATAAATGGGTTAAATGCAGCAAAAAGAAGGAGCAACAAACTGCAAATGTGAATACATCAATATACTGCTTATAAGAAACATACCTAAAACAAACTGAATTACACTAAATTCAAGGGATGTGTAAAAAAAAAAATCAAGATCATGAAAATAATTTTTAAAAAGCAAGAATGGAAATTTTGATCTCTAATTAAAAGATTTAAAAAGAAAAATGAAATATTTAGGAATACATTTAAGACAAGCCAGACTTCTACAAAGAAAAATGCTGCAAAACCCTGGAGAAGACCTACTGAAAAGGGAGCATGTGCTATACTCATAGATCGGACACTCTGAAAATTCTAAAGCTAACCATAGAAATCTGCAAATACAATGATTCAATGATGATAGATTCAGATTCTACCATCCCTTTTTTGATAATGGAAAAAAATCACCAAGTTCATATGAAAATGAAAGAGACCCAGAATAAACACGCTCTTAAGAAAAATGAAATAGACGGTCACATTTCTCAGCCTCAAAAGCAACTACAGAAACACAGTAGTTAAAAATCCTGACATTGGTTCTACAAAAGAAACATAGTCTAATAGAACACATTAGAGAATCCAGAAATAATTCATCCACCAAGAAACAACTGATATTCAACAAGGGCAGAAATACACTACAAGGGGAAGAAACAGTATCTTCAACAAATGGTCCTGGCAAAAGTTGACATTGATTTGAGGAATAAAATCAGAACCTACACATCATTCCATACATAAAAAAACCGAAGTGTAAATCCTAGAATTTAAAATCAACAATGACAAAATAGGGGCCTGAAAAAGGGCATAAACATACTACAAAATATAATAAAAAATTCACACACAGCCGAAGACGATATAGATGAACTTTCTACATATATAACACTTATGTGCATGAAAAGATTTCATGAAAGATAATCTATATAATGGAAAACATCGGGAGGAGATAAAGAAAAGAGGAGTGATACCAAGGGCTCCAGCAGAAAGAAACTGTCTTGGAAACACTGATGGCAACATACGTACAGTGTGCTTAATTAATACAAATGAATGAATATTTTTAGGAGCCCCCAAGAAAATGGTGAATTAAAAAAAAGAATGGAAAACATTTTTGACAATGCACGGAACAAGGATCAAATGTCTAAAATCTGCAAATATCTGCATTTCTATAAAAAATATAATACACAACAGAGGTCAACACAGCACAGCACACTATTTCAAAAATAGATGAAAACAATTTATATGCCCACTTGTGGAAGAAAGGATAAAGAAGTTGGCTACATACAAAGGAATATCAAAGACTAAAGTCTAAATTGTTAAACATCTCATGGCAAGGGTGGACTTGGAGAACATAGTGCTGAGTGAAATTAGTTAATTATAAAAAGATACATAAAAGAAAACTTAAGACGAAGGTTTTCATACTGTTATAGTTACCAAGACTAAGAGGGAAATGAAGGGAAGGGGAAATCAATAGATTATAGTGAGGGGATGAATAACAGAATTGTGGGTGAAGGGAGACAAAGGACAATGTAAGGGGTAAAAAGAGGAACTGATACCAAGGGCTCAAGTAGGAAGAAACTGTTATGGAAATGGCAGGGGAAAGGAAAGGGGGTGTGAACTAACCAACCCCAGGGACAAGGGAACAACAAGTGATCTAAAATTGATGGCGAGGAGGGTATAGGAAACCTGGTGGGGCTT